TTGCTCATCCTGAATTTTCAGTTATACCCGGTTCTATTAATTCATTAATCAGGCCGGTATGCTCATCTTTAAAAAACAGGCTGCATCCTTGCTTACATTTCAACATCCCTCTGCATGAACCATTTATGAATTTGTTGGTCTTGCTTTTCCAGACCAGTACCCTCCCCATAAGTTATGGCCTAAGGCCCAAGACGTATCTAAAACAGCGAAGCTTGGAAAAACGGAGAAACAGTGGGAACACTTACCAGTTGTACCAAGGCAACACCGCCAAAAAGGATAATAAGCGCCAGCCACTGTACCAGAGACAGTCGTCTGCGAAGAATGATGACTGTGAAAAGTGCGGTTGTGAGGATTTTCAGTTGATAAGAAACCTGAAAAAATGGAAAAAATGTGTAAAATAATAACGCAATAAGGAACAAACATAAATGAGTATGAAAAGTGGCAGTACTCGCAGCAAAGGTTCAAAACAATCAGAAAGGTTCACAAAAACAACAACCACCAAAGGCAATTTCGAATCCAGCTGCTTAAGAGTCTGGCGGGTTTATGTGGTGGCATGTAACTTTTACGGCCAAATTCATTTGAAGTTTCAAATTCACCAAACTATGATTTGTTTCGGTGGTAAATTGGCACTTGTACATGCCGAAAAGCCAGAACTGCATAGAACCTGTTTCCTAAAAAACCGCCGGGAAGCAAAAGAAATTCATGGATAGCTTGACGGTTGCTGTAGAGAAAATTTTATTACTTGGACCATTTCCAAGTATCTCAATTTCCTAAAAGAAACAAAATAGAGACGACAATTAACGTTGCCCCAATAATCTGTATTTTTTGACTAAAAAAAAAACCCCAGACCATGTATGTTGCTGCCGGAAGATTGGATACGGCAACATAAAGTAGATTATTCTGGATAACATATATAACTGCGGGTACACATACTTTGAGAGTGTCGATCGGCTGCTTGATTATGTCCTTATACATTATTTTCAAACATCTAAAAATAAGTACTGGAGCTCCCATAGCTCCATAAACAGCAATTGAAAAATATAAAAACTGTTTCAAAAATAATCGTTATTATCAGAATAAATCCCATACATAATTTTCACCCACATCTGAGAACTGAACTGCGTAACACAAATGCGCCAAGAACGTGACAACATTCTCCGGTAACATCGCTAACTTCAGACACCCGCATTCAATGTTTGTGTGATCTTAGTAATTTTCATTACGCGTGTTTTTCCCAAACACACACTGCCAAATCAAACTGTT